TGACTTTTGCCCCATTTTGTGACATTTTCTGAGTTGTTAAGTGAATTGCTTAGTTGTTAAATACATCATGTGGTTGTTAAGTGAATCTGGTTTCCCACATTGACTTTGCTTGTCGGAAACTGACTAGGAAGGTTAAAAATGGTGATCATATGACTCTGGGACAATACAACTGTCATAAATACATTGTCAGTTGCCAAATGTCCAGATTTTGATCATGGGAATGCTGCATCAGTCATAAATGTGAAAATTGGTCATAATTCACTTCTTTCTGTGCCATTGTAACTTCGAACGGTCATTAAATGAATGGTTGCAAGTAGAGGACTACTTGTAATCGCTAGCTGGTAGAAGTGAGCAACAGTATGTTAGTTTAAAAGATAATTGCTAAATTAGATATATTGTCTTGATATAAACCAATGTGAGGAAACTGAGAGTAAACATAGGCGTTGGTTGCGGAAGTATTAATAAATTAACCTTCCCACAGAATGATCAGAAGAAGGATGTGGAAGCTGCTTGGAAGAGAGTAAAATTTATATTGCAGAGTGCCATGTAAGTGAGTGAACTTAGACTTAGAAATTAGAATAACTTTATTGTCACTTTGAATGTACATTAATCGGCATACATTAAAATGAAATTTCGTTGCATGCAGCTCTCAAAAGGTCCCCAGCTCTAATATAGACTACACAAACATGACAAGATAAATAAATAAATACAAAATTATGCATGTACCTCAGTGGTGGGTTTCAAATCCCGTTGCTACCAGTTTGCTCGTAGGCGCACGGCACTTGCGTGTGCGCGCAATGCTTCTGCGCATGTGCAAAAGCGTCGGTGGGTGGGTGCATACATGTACACGGTGAGAGAAACAAATCTTGCAAGTTTACCAGACAGATGCCATAGGGAATAAAGCTGTTACAGAATCTGGAAGTCCTGCTAGAAATATTTCAAAACCTCCTTTCAGAAGGGAGCAACAGAAACAGACTGTGAAGTAGGTGTGTGAGGTCTCTAACAATGCTTTGAGCTCTAAGCACACTGTTTATAAGCAGTATCCTGAACGACAGGAAGTGAGCTTCCTATAATCTTCTCAGCTGTCCTTACCACTTTCTGAATGGACTTTCTATCTGAGGCACTGCAGCCACCAAATCAAACAGTGGTGCAGTTTGTTGAACTGCTCTCAATCCTGCCTCTGTAAAAAGTGGCTAGGATAGAGGGAGAAAGATGTGCTCTCCTCATCTGACGCAGGAAATGAAATGACAACAAGAGAGAGAGCCTATGGACAAGAAAAATATATAGTTAAGAGAATAACGCAAATTGGATTAGAGAATTATATTTTACAATGCTTAAATAGAGAAAAGATGCAAAAATGCACTTAAATTATAAGGAATGGTTAAGAAAAAAATTTAAATTGATTTTGATGGAAATTAAAAGCAGAAAAAGAAAAGAAAAAAGTCTCCAACCATGAGAAGAATGATGTAACAATTGAGGGAATGTTAAAAGGAATATTTTATTTATTTAGGTAATAGATATATATCTCACCTTTCATATAGGAGCTCAAAGTATATAGCACTGTTATATGCTTGTGTTAATAAATAACACAAGTCCTATGTTTACCTGTAATATAGGATAGATTGGGCTAAGAGAAAGTTACTGGCCCCAAGTCACCCAGTGGACTTTGTCTGTGAGTAGATTAGAACATAGCTCACCAAGAAATTATATGAATGTGAGAAGTCAAGTTAATTGTATGATCGTTCAGAGGAAGGCTATGATAAAGTAAACGGTGTTAAATTATGGAATATTTTGGAATAGAATAGAATAGAATAGAATAGAATAGAATAGAATAGAATAGAATAGAATAGAATAGAATAGAATAGAATTCTTTGTTGGCCAAGTGTGATAGGACACACAACGAACTTGTCTTGGTGCATATGAAGTTGAAAGTTAGCATGTTTGAGAATAAATGGAATGCTTAGCAAACAGTTCAGGACTAAATAGTCAATAAGACAGGGATGTGTGATGTTTTTTGGTTAAGTATATTAATATAAATGTATAAGAAATACTTGTAGTGGATTTAGAGATTTGTTGCTGAGGATGTGAGTATTTATGTACTTTTATACTTGTTGATTGAGAACCCAAATTATTTCCAGCAAATATTAATATTGTTTGATGGATCTGGAAAAGGAAAATGGATCTGATGAAACACCAAGTTGCTTTGTTTTGAGTTTGTGAAGTGAATGATTGCACACAAATGACAAAAAATTTAGAAAAGTAGATGCATTATAGTCTTTCATACAATATTTACTGAAGATGGAGTACAGGTAGTCCTCAACTTATGACTGATCACTTAAAATGTTTTGAAGTTATGACAGATATTCCCAGTGTTAGTTACAACCAGGTTTCATTGCAACTGGTTCACCTTTTCAGTTGTTGCGGTGTCCTGTGGTCTGACTGATTTACAGTGTTGTGGGTTTTTTTTTGCTAGTTTCTGGTGTTCTGGTTTCTGGAAAAATTGCCCATTGGGGAAAATGTAACTAGAGTATGACCCTGAAGTAGGATCATAAGCACATGTATAGTTTCACTTAGCAACTGCTTCACTTTACAACCGAGTTGCTGGTTCCAGCTGTGTTCCCTAAATGAGGATTATCTGTTTGCTACTTTTTCTTCATGCCTTTAATTTCTTGGGCTATTTCTTTCTCCTTTCCTATAGCTTAATCAAAAAAATAAAGAAATAGATATGTACATGTGCTTTTAATTAAATGTTACGTTAGCTGGTTTCCAGAATATACGTTAGCAGAAAGTTTTTTATTGTGTATTCAGTTTTATGAACTCAATCATAATTAATTATAGCTTTCATGTTTCAGACCAGAGTGGACCAAAAACAAACAAACCTAAGATTAATTCTAGGACTGTTCCATGATTCCCACATTCAAATCAATTGTATAACTTAAACTGTAATTAAGTCTCTTTGCTTTTTCTGAAATTTAGTTAGCTAAACTTGAGTGATTATTTTTCTCAAAGTGAACTTATGCCACAGGGTTTAGCAAATGCTATCCTGGTTATCAGCCAGGGTTATTTAATTTTAATATTTGTGGTAGCTAGCCTCCTGCACATGCAGTGGAAAGAACTTTTTGATTGATTTATATGGTCACCCACTTCACACAATAATTCAGAGTGGCATATGTGGTTAAAACAACACTTTGCCATCTGAACCACAATACCCAAAGTTTAATAATAGATCCAGTTTATAAAAGTAGCGTTGCTAGGAGAATTCACATACCCTCCTGGCCCAAGCACCTGGGGAATGAAACACTAGGTCTTCAGTGACTGATGAATGTCTAAAAGGGTCAGGGCCAACTAGATTTCCAGAGAGATGCTGGCACTGTCACAGAGAAGGAACGACTCCTATATCCAACAAGATGACATTGTTTTAATGGAAGAGACCCAGAGCATACCCTCCCAGATAGATTTGGTAGGGTAAACAGAAATGATGGGAGAATCATTTCCACATTCTCCTAAAATTACAAGTCATTCCACTTAAATTTGTAATGTACAGACAACAAGACAAGATCTTGAGATATATGGGTGTGGGCATGCAAATCATTCATGGTAACCAGCAAAATACAGGTGATTATATTTACTGAATTCTGTAGATTTAATTGATATGTAAATGTACTGATGGTGGTTTTGAATTTCATTTACTTTACTTAGCAGTTGAACCCTAGATAGAGACAGCAATGGATTTTGTCTGCCATCTCAACAGAAGTGGGGTGAACCCTGGAGGAAACATACTTCATATTCCTGATATACTGTATATTGTATTGTAACACTTCAAATAGGTTACAACTTTGTTAAGTAATCTGTGCCAGAATTCATGGCAAGCTATGACAAGGCATCTCATTTTCACATGAGAAGAATGCTCTTATGATATATTACAGTGTAACCTAGGGGATAATTGATTCATTTTTTAAATGTGTCTGCTCTATCTTTGTTATAGATATTGCTCTCCTTTCCAAAGGAGACTAAGATATTGGTTATGTATGCTGTAGCAAGTAGTGAATTCTGTACAGTTTTTGAGGATAATGTTTCAGAGTAAAAAATTTAAAAAAACCTGATTGTTTTTTCACTCTAAAACATTATTGTCAAAAACTGATAGTTTTTTCCTCTCTTTTTCTATGTTGATAGGCTAATTTATGTTTAAGACTTTTCTTTGCTGGATCTTAGGTCTTTTGCTATTTTATTAAGTAAAGATAAAAATCATAACATTTAATGTGATTCCACCTACCTTTATGGATGTATCCACATAGGTTTTTTTGGAAGCAATACAGATATAGTTTTTTACTGCTTTCTTCTGGTTTGTTTGTTCAGTTTGAATATTTGATTAATGAAATCTCAATTCTGAGGCTTATAGAGTCCAACAAACATCAGATTTTATTCCCACTGTTATCTGGCTTTAGGTCTCATTTGATTTATTCACATATTCAAATGGCGAAGCACCAGATTGGCCATTGACAATTTCGAACTCTCCAAATTTTAGTTCACCGTGTTTGGAATGTGCTGGATTGAGAAATGTGAGTTTAACTTTAGAGAAGGAAAGCTAAACTGAATGTTAAATAAATAACCTCAGGATTGTAGCGAAGAAAAAACTGTGATACCAGAAATTGAAAATGTAGTGTCTTATGAACTAGACCAAAGCCATCATAAATTATTTTTAGAACACTACAAAAAGCTTATAGTACAACAATGTGATTAATGTAGAACATTAATCCAGTCCTGTAAAAAACGCCTCACTTTATGGTGTAATACTAGTCAATAAGAATATTGCATTGTGCTGGTACTTCAGGCAAATAATATTACAGTCATGGTATTGAAGGAATTGCAGCACTTACGAATTCTTAGTCTGTGAAGATTGTTAAGATAGAGGGCATAGAGTTACTTTATTTTTTATAAAGCTATGAGAAATGTTTTTACACAGTGATAAAAAGCATCAAACATTCATATGCTTTTTGCAGAAGGAAGCAGAATGTTTGCAAGAGAAGGAAACTATTAAACAAGATGTGTCGCTCTTAGATTTGGATGACTGTAAGTACTTGAGATAATTGCCTTTTATTGTGTTATTTATATATATTTGGCCCTGCCAATTTAATTACTTGAATTCATTTTTGGAAAAAAGGGTACTTCTAAAAGTCTTGTACAGATATGTTAACATATCTGCATGTTCAAACTGAGTCCTTTTCTTAAGTTATGCAATGTAATAACTAATTTCAGAAATCCTGTACAATATATTCAAATCTCTGTTATTCTTTCTAAAAAAGAATGTGAAAATCTTGTTTTTATTTCTGTAATAATAATATACTATATAAGACTATATCTTTATAATTCAGTAGCATTTTAAGTGAGAATATAGATAATATTTTTAATATTCTTATTCAGAAATATATTTTAAATGATAAATTTCTGTGATGGGGCTAGGAAAAATGTAGCCTCAATTATAAATAAAACAACAACAACAACAGCATTAAACGTGAAATGAGATTTTTTTTAATGATTCTTAGTTTTACATTGCCAGCTTCATCTTTCACAATTTGAAAGTTGGAGAGGGTAACTAGGGAAAGAAGGAATTGGCATATGTTGACCTCACTTCTGCTAGTATAATTCTGCCGGGTAGATTCTCTTACCAGCAGAAGCAAAGTTGAAATCCAAGATTTCTGTTTGCAATACCTTATAATTTCAAAATACACATATTTATTTTTATAGTGCCCATTGTGTTGTGTTGTGTTGTGTTGTATTGTAGTACAAGTATTGTAAAGTACAAAAATCCAAGCCTTTAAAAATGGTCAGACTCTCAATCTGTGTGTGTCTCTTTCTCCATATATGACATTTCCATGGTTTATTTCTCTGTACATATATTATAAAGCATTATCAGCACAAATTTTATTACAAATTTACAAGTATGCAGTAGACAATGTATGTGGATTTTCAGACATAAAAGTTGCACCATTACAAAAAAAGAGTGAAAATTATACAGTTGGAAGAGAGGCCATTGAGACTAATGCTTTGCTCAATGTCGGGATTCAGCTTAAATCATCACTGGCAGGTGGTTGTTCAGTCTCTATTTGAACATATCCAGCTGAGGGGAGTCTGCCACCTTTCTAGATAATTTGTTTCACTGTGGAAGTTTCTTCCTAACTTTCAATTAGAATTCACCTTCCTGAAATGTAAGACCAAATAAAACTGTCCATATGTAATGCCATTATATGATACAACTTCACTTGGAATACTGTGCACAGTTCTGTTAACAATACCTTGGAAAGCATAGTGAAGAGCTGGAAACGATGCAGAAAATGGCAATCAAAATGATTAGAGCGTAGAATGCCTTCTTTGCAATGAAAAAAATACATCATTTGAGGTATTTTAGGTTAAAGCAGAAGTAAATAAAAAGTGATACGATAGAAATTTGTAAAATGATATACAGCATAAAAATGTGGTGATGTACAGTAGAATTTTTCTCAGAATTTTAGAACTTGGGTGTATAGTTACTGAACCTAAATGTGGTAAAATGAGGACTAGTATAAAGAATTTATTTTCAGAGCAGAAAAGTTATCAGATATGGTAATGGCATTTAGATGATTTTAAAAGAAGACAAATGATTGGAAGAGAGAAGTATTAGTGTCATTAGTCTTGATGGTTATAAATCACAGACTGCAAATCTTAAGTACAACTTTTTAGGGAGTAACTGGTATACTGAGATTGTGCTTTCAGGACACTGTGACATAGAATACTGGGCTAAATGGGTGAAATGATATGGTAGAACGCTTATTTTCTCATGTTGCCATAGAATCATAGTCTTAGTCATATGATTTATTTATATATGTATTCAATTTTAATTATTTTTCTTAATCACATTATTTTCTTCAGTCAGCCCTGCACCAGCTCTTACTACCTTTTGCAAACCATCAATTCTCTCTCCCATCTTAGCAACAGACCTAGAAGGTTTAAGTTTATCAAGTTCTTCAGTCATTGATGTAAGTAATTATGAATTGATTTATTTTTATGTTTTTAAGTATGTTTGCATCTTCAACAATTTATTATTTCGACTGTTCCTCTTCTCTTTAATATATTTGAAAGTAGAAAGCAGGGACAGCAACAGGTTTGAGTGAGTTTAAAATGCTCACGTTTATATAATGTATTCATAGAAGATAATTTTATAAATTAGTATTACATTTTTTTTTAACCAAAAGCATTTTCTGCAACAGTATGCCATTTTTTTCTACTAGGATTTGTATCAACTTTTATAAGGAGTTCCTATCTAACAAAGAGCTCACATTTTAGTCTAACTATATTATGCTACATAGGTAAGAGAATATTGCATGCTAATAAGAAACCTGAAGAGTGTGAGTTTTAGAAAAACAATAGCGATTGTCCAAAGCATAAACTATTCTCAGCACATTATGACTCAAAATTTTGTTCTGGGTATTTGACAGCCACAGCAGTAAATTCCTTAGTTGCTGCATTGGTCTATTGAACAGAGTGCCTTTCTCTGGTGTTTTTTATTAAGAAATCTAGTGGGAATTACTTCTGCTATATGCTATATTAGATTTGATAGTTCGTATATACACATTGAGGAAACTTCACTGTAAAACAATAAAACCAACATATTACAGTTATATGTGGCTTTCATCTTACCTGAAATTTAAAATTCAGACACAAAACTTTACTGTTTCATAAGACTGACAGTACTAAACCAGTCTGCAAAAGAAACATAATTATTACATTGATTTTTAAAAAGATCATTTGTCTGGATGCTACAGGTATAAAACAAGGCCATAGAGACAATTTATTTACCATGTTCCCCCGAAAATAAGACGGGGTCTTATATTAATTTTTACTCCAAAAGATGGATTAGGGCTTATTTTCTGGTTAGGTCTTATTTTGGGGGAAATATGGTACTAAATGCATCCATCTGGCTGACAATCTAAACTGGGGTTATTTTGGGGGTAGGGCTTATATTACGAGCATCCTGAAAAATCATGCTAGGACTTATTTTCTGGTTGGATCTTATTTTCAGAGAAACAGGGTAGATCAACAGAATTTGTAAAATATCACTCCAAGCTTTCAAGATTCAAGAAAGGAAAATTAGGAAAATTGGTTGGGCTATCTGGTTAGAAGAAATGGATACTCTAGCATTGGTTCCCATAGGTCTATATACTGCCCTTCATGTCTGTAGAATCCTGCTATAGAATAGCTAAATTTATTCAAGTTTCATGAACAGCAGCATTATCCACATTGATCAACAGAATAAAAATCCATAAAGGTAGTACTTTATTGGACCTACTTTAATTTTCCATGTAGACTGGTACAGGGACTACTTCAATATAATCTTTCATGTTTTTTCTTACCCTTTCTTCCCTTCCCACATCAAAATTGCCTGATAGAGTTTTCGACATTGAAGCTGCCAGTTGTTTTGTACAACTTCAGTTGGCCTAATAGAAATATTGCCTCCATGGATTTTGTATTGATCTTATTTAACTCTGTGATCTGTATGGCAATTTACTATTTATAATAAAGTAGCTTTACTCCTATAAAACTAGTTTATCCTATGTGCATAATATTTGTGTGCCACTATTTGTTGTTGTTTACATTATATCTGATAAAGACTATAAAATGCATGGAATCTAGTGAATACAAAACAAAAAAACTATGAAATAAAGGATAAAAGATCTAACAGTGGAACCTTTTTAATATACTTACAAGAGATACCCATCATGTCTAACCAATGGTTCCTATTAATTCACAATACTTGTATATGTTTCTCATTTTTCTTTTTATTCACATTAATCATATAAGAAAGTGGACATCCTTCTAACATTTGCCTTGTTTTGCAGAAAAGATGCTGGGTTCAAGTATTTTGGGCAAAAGCACCAGAGAGAAACTGTAACAATTATAGAGTCATATTTGGTAGGAAAAGATCATTAAATTAACCTAATCCATTAATTAGTGCAGAACTCTTACATCAGCTCTGAGAACTCACCATCTTTTAAGGCAGAAGTACTATGAGTCTTGAAGAATTTTTTAAGGTGTGACTTTCAGATGCAATAAGGTACTGCCATTGGAAAGAGGAACCTGGGAAATGTTAGTACATCATGGAACAACTGTTGGATTCTTAGGATATGTATTAGCCTTATCACAGGGAAATCCCTGAAATGGGAAAAGTTTGATTTTTAAATTACAGTTATTTAGAGGGTATCCTTTCAGACATGACACTTTCCCTAGAAATAGTTCATGTTGAAAAGGAAAAGTTTTGTTTTTTTTAAAAAAATTGATTTATATGCCGCCTTCTCCTTCTCTGGAGACTCAGGGCGGCTTACAATGCGTTAAGCAATAGCCTTCATACTTTTGTATATTTATACAAAGTCAGCTTATTGCCCCCACAATCCAGGTCCTCATTTTACCTACCTTAGAAAGGATGGAAGGCTGAGTCATCCTTGAGCCTGGTGAGATTTGAACTTGCAGTAATTGCAGGCAGCTGATGTTAATAACAGTGCTTTAATCTGCTGCGCTACCAGGGGTCCTAGTTTGAATGGAATGGAAGTTTGAATGGAAATAGGAACCATTTGCTCTCTGACCATGTTAAGAAACTAAGACACAATGTTCTGAATGTCAAATAGTGTCAAATATCAACTATGCTTATCTATGTAAGATTGAAAGATTCCTGGTGAAAGCATGTCATCCTTTTAAGCTATAACTCTCACACAATGGCTGAAATCAAATGAAGGCAACAAATACCTTTGTTGATTCTGACTTATTTGATCAAAGAAGGATGCTGATTCTTAGTTTTGATAACAAAAAATATTTAAACTAGGAAATAAGTATCTACCCTTATTGTTAAATCCAAAGCAGGATCCATGAATTATTTCTTTTTTCATAATCTAGAACTATAAGTTTATTTATTTAGCTTTATCAAAGCCTGATACTTTTATCTTGTAACAATACTTTTCTTAATGTACCTGATTTAAAAAGATAAATGCAAAAAAATACTTAGTACTGAAGTACTTTAGTACTTTTTAATTTCCTTGTTATCCAGCAGCTCTCTTAAGTGCTTTCTATCTTGGATGCATATAGAAAAAAATTGTTATGCTTGGTCTTAATTTTATTAGCAGCCTGCAGCTGAAAAATCCTTTTGCATTTGTTTCATGCTGATTTGTGTTCCTATTTCTTCTCTTGTTTGGTGACAATTCTTAACTGACCTTCCTTATCTTTTATCTTCATGCATTGGTTGGTAACATCTTGGACAAAATGGTCCTTTTCTGACTTACTTATCAAATTTATTTGCCACCAACAATTTATTTGATATACCAACATCAAAAAAATATTGATATTGCAAATCTAGCCGCTCATAATCGCATTGAACCAATATCAATATTTTTTTGATGTTGGTATATTTGATCTTCTATTTTTCTTTTCACTTTTTTATAAGGAAACCTTTAATTTTTAAATGTTCCTTTTATTTCTTTGCCTATTAATATTTCAGTTCCATCTTTTCATAAATTAGAACATACGATAAATTTGATAAAAATAACACTAACTGAACTATGAAAAGCACCTAAAACCGGATGAAATATTAAAATAACTAAAAGGTTTTAAATAGCCAATTTAAAGAGGCATATCTTAGTTTTCATTTCATAATTTCTATTTAACATTTTGCCCTTGTAGAATGCATCAGCTTTAAAAACAAACAAAGCTAGGTTGGAAATCAGTTTAATTCAGTTTAATTTAATACTTCACAATTTGGAACAAGAACAATGTCAAAGAAATAGAACTCTGAATAATAATGCCCCTAAAGATCTTCTGCAGATTCAATAACCAGATAAATTGTTGAAGAACTCCTTTAGATAGTTAGGCTCTAATCTGGTTTTGTTAATGACTTTAATATTAATATAGCACCTTCATTTGAATCCAAAGTTCATAATTTCCCAATTAAGGCAGTATGATCTTAATATGATACAGAAATTTTCTGGTACGTTTTGCATCATCAAAAATTTTCGGACTTTCTGCAAGTATGGCTTTATATAGAATGCATTCAAGTAGTCAGGTGGATCATGACCAAAAATACGATTTAAGGAAGATATCAGCTGTAATTATTACCTTTACTTGTGAAAAAGTGATTCCAAACTACAGATTTGGCCACAATTAAATGTTTCTCTGTTAGGTTTCTTTAATAATTTCCTATGTAATCTAATAGAACAGAGCTTGTTGTTTCTATTTGATGCATTGCTTGTATCAAACATTCGCTTCTAGCACTTCTTAGAATTATGTCCAGGACTACATCTTCTCTGGTTGATTCCATAACTAGATTCTAGTACAATCAGTAAACATACTGTGAAATCTGTTCTTCGATTTTGCGATTACAGTCTTATGATGTTCTTTCTTTGTGAAACTAAAAGTAGACCAACTTTCCTAACCAGTGTTGACTAGCATTTCAAGTTAACATCCATTTAAATCTTCTCCCCTTTTTAAATGTAAATTTTAATTTGTTTTTAAATTATGGGGTATTTTAAATTCAGCCAAATTATTTAATTCGTTTTTAATTTATTTTAAATTTTTGTATTTATGTGTTTTATCTTGTGGCTGTTCACCGCCCTGAGTCCTTCGGGAGAAGGGCGGTATAGAAATTTAATAAAATAAAAATAAATAAATAAATTTGAAATTGGGACATAATTCTACACTTTCTTCAACAAAGTTGATCAATTTTGATTTGTGCTCCTAAAGACTAATCTGTCTGAAATTAAATTCTTTTGAATTAGGACAAGAAATTAGTCTTCTAATACTTTAGATAATGTTGCCCATTGAAAGTCTACATTGAAAGATGTAGAATCAAGAGCAAAACTAGATGGTATCTTTCATTAAATTTGGTCTGCTATCCAAAGCCTCAAAGATATCTTGTGCTGAATCTTCCACTTTGCCAAGATTTTATTTGCAGCCATCTCTCCCTAGTCCCATCTCTGTTCCAATATTGTAACCTGTT